CCCCACCCTTTGCCCCAATCGCCTTCATCACACCGCCGTTGATTGATTGTCAATATTTACGCCCCCTTCAACACTGTCTGGATCATTTAGGATACTAGTAGTGTCAAACTCAATCTCTGAAGGGGCCAAACTCACTTATTAAAGTTAATAGCATGACTAGACAAACACTCTTTGAGCAGTGAGAAACTAACCCCTTAATCAGCAATGATTTAAAGAACGACAGAGAAACGTTAAAATGATAAACCAAAGCATACCAATTTTCGCTCTTATGACACTTTGTCATGCTTTGCTTTTGTAAAGTGTTTTACGGCGCTCGCAACTGCATAAGGTCATATGTGCGCGCGAGACACACCTAATATTTTCAGTTGGTAGGAAATTTTGAATTTTGCCCGGGTGACTCTTATCGATTTTAGACCACCAAGGGATCTTTAACGTGCGCAACTTGCACTCGGGCCCTCCGAGATTTTTCGCCCTTGTCCGAGAAGGCTAGGTGTAGATCTTTCCTACCAGGAGGTCAGGGGTGTGGCAGAAAGACAGCAGTAAGGAGGAGCCAAGGAGTAGCAGTAAAAAGGCTGCAGAAAGAGTCAGGAGCCCAGAGGAGGGAAATGAAAGACACTTTGTCAGAGCTGCATGTTTGGTACCTGGGCAACAAGTTCATTAATTTATGTTTTTCAATAAGGTTTTTTTTTGTCTTATTGAAACAGGTTGATTGGCTTGTGTTCTGGTGTGGTTTGCTCGTTCTTTCCTTTCAAACATCTATCGTCCTCGTTCTTCCTCCTTTTTGTGTTTGTTACTCTCTTGTACACCTCTTATCTTCGTCATTTTTATGACCTTATTGTGCTGCGAATGCCGTAAATCTTTTACGAAAACTAAGACACTTAAGACGGACTACTGTACCTAAAATTTTCTCACGAGCCAAATATAATTGTTCATCAGGCCGTATGTGGCCTCCAGATCTTGGGTTTGATATGCCCCCTTCGACACAAATTTAGATTATTCATGAGGAAGGTTTCGGAACTTGTGTGTCAGGACCAACAGGGCTGAGAGGGACACAGCGCCCCTACAGAAGGACCGAGAAAGTCGATATAAATTGTTCCCTAGTCGGGAATCAAACTTGGGTCTTCTGTATGTGACAGGAAAGATCCTACCCGCTACACCACAGACGCCGTTTTGTTTCCCGTGGTTTTTGACGATTGTGCGTAGGTTGTCAAAAACAAAGTTGTTTTTTCTGCCAAAGTCTCTTGACGCGCAATAACATTTTCTCCGCACTATTTGCTTTTTTCAGTGTCTCCAGAAAAGTCATGCTGGTAGTTAAACTCCCCCCCCCCCCCCCCACATACACACTTCACTCAAAGTCAAAGAGAAGCTGAAATAATGTTTTGTTATACACAACTGGGTATGATGGTATTGTTGTAAGTGTTGTGTGTCCGAATCCATACAATTTGTTCAAGTCAATACAATGTGTAGGAAGTCACAGCCTAGGATCATGCGGACTACTGGAATTCAGTATCTTCATAATGGGTGGTTTGCGGGTGCTTTTGATGGGTTTGTTTGTTCTTTCACGTCTAACAACTT